GCGTCCTGAATCTCGCGCGACAGCACGACACTGCGCGGTTTCGCCAACGACTTGTCTTTTTTGTGTTTCGACTCCTTGTCGTCGGGCTCGCCGATCGCCGCCACAAACTCGCGGTAGTTGATTTTGCCGTCGCCGTCCGTGTCGTACTCGTCCACGAGGCACCGCACCTGCGCGTCGGTGAGGGGCGACCCCATCGCTTGCAGCGTCTCTTTCAATTCGATGCACGAGATGACGCCGCTTTCGTCCGCATCAATGTCCCGAAACACGTCTTTGAGGCGCAGCTGGAGCGTCTTTTGGGCGTGGTGGAAGAGCGATCGTACGGTGGCATGTAGCGCTTGGACATCGAGATGCAGCGACGGCTGCAGCCAGCGCGCGCACTGGTCGTAGTCCACGCCCGTCACTGGCTTGGACTTGCCGCGCACCGTGTAGTCGTAGCCAAAGCGTTCGAGGAGAGTATCAATCTCGGACGCCGTGAGGCGGAGGCCTCCGTGGTCACTGAAAAACTTGTCGGCCGTCGCGATCGGAATCCAACCGGCGTCTTTGGTATCGAGTTGTGCCAATTGCGTGTGCAAGTTGGTCGGAGCCTCGCCCGACGCCTTGTCGAAGGCCCGAAGCTGCGTCGTGATCTTGGACCGGACTTTATCGAGCTGCTTCGTGTCGGGCTGATGCTGGAGGTAGTCGACAAATGCGTAGTAATCGATGGCGTCCGTCTTCTTCTTGACGCCAAAGCACAGACACAAGCAAGCGAGATGGTCCTTCTTGAGCTTGATACCGAGCTTGGCAATGCCCTTCGTAAACGCTGCAGCGTCGAGGTAGCCCCGCTCGTGCGTGTCGTATTTCTCAAACACGGCCGCGATATCGAGACCGTTCTTGCGTTGCTTGCCGTGCACAGCGGTGAGCATCGCCGAAAGTGCACTTGGCTCAATGAGCGCCTTGAAACTCGGAATTTTCTTGGCATTTTTGCGCTTGGTCGTTTTGACTTTGTCATCATCGTCGTCGTCGTCGTCGTTTTCACTCGGTGCGCCAAACGCGACCGCGAATTCCTTGTAGTCAATCTTGCCGTTGCCGTCGCCATCGACCGACTCGATGAGCCCCTTGATTTGCGCGTCCGTGACGGGGAACCCGAGGTCGTGGAGCGCCTCTTTAAACTCGAGTCGGGAAATGAGACCGCTGTCGTCGTCGTCAACGGCCTTGAAGATGTCGATGCAACGCAGCCCATGCGTCTTCTTGGCGTGTCGGAAGAGCCCTTGCACGCGTTTCTGCAGCTCCTTGGCTTTGTAGTGAAACGACGGTTGCAGCCACGCCGCAAATTGCGCGTAATCGACGCCGATACCATCGTCGTCGTTGTTTGAATCGAATTCAAACGAGAATCGATCCAGGAGAAGGTTCACTTGCTTGGACGTGAGCTCCATATCGACCGGTCGCGTAAGACACTTGCGAAACACGTCCGGTGCGAGCCATCCCCGCTCGTTCTTGTCGGCGCGCTCGAGCGACTCGTACATGTTGAAGGGCTGCTCACCCGACCGCTTGTCATAGTCAGCAATGGCTTCGCAGAGCGCGGCAGCAACCGCAGAGAGTTTTTCTGAGTCGCGCGTGCTCGTGGCAAAGTCCACAAAGCTGTAGTAGTCGATAGCTTGTCGGCGTACCCGGAAGCAGTCTTGGACGACCGACAGCTGGTCTTTCGACCATCCGACGCCGAGCTTCTTGATGCACTTGGCAAACGTCGTGTCGTCAACAACGCCGGCTTCGTCCGTATCGTACTGTTCAAAAACGCGACAGAGGCGCGCGGGGCTGAGCTTGTGCTTGCCGGCCACGGCGCTCGAGAGCGTGCCAAGCGTGTCGGCATCGAGGAATGCCGCACCTTTTTTTGCCTTGGGCTTTTTCGACGACTTGCTGCCGACGCTAATGCGCTGCCGGTCGTTCGGCTCGTCGTCGTCCGGGCCGTGGCGCCGACTGCGCTTGACGAGTTTCTTGAACATGGCAAAGTACGAAAGATCGCGACCTTTCGTCGAGCATCCGGATACCAACGACCAGCGCGGCGCGGAGCCGGTAACGTGAACCAAGGGCATGATAACTTTGTGCAGTAGTCGGTATGCTTCTACACTCGTCAACTGTACCAATGTAGGATGAAGCCATGAGATGAAGCGCTGTAGAAAGGGTAGACGCGGTCTCGTGTTTTCTATGTTCGGCGTACTCGGCACTTGTAGCTCTGTACCTGGTGCTCAACGTCACTGCATTCCGTGAACAAGGACACTGTTGTCTTCGTAGCGTCTATCGGCTTGTTGAGGTACCGGTACGAGAGTGTACCCAGATCGTCAATCGGTCGCCGGACGCTTGGAGCCGCAACCGGATATATGCGAGACCCATCGAGGAATGACGGTTCCAAGTTTCCGGGAAAATCCAAACGCCAGTCCCAACGCGACCTTCTGAGCGTACGCTGCTTGCGATGAACCTATGCAAACGCAAGTGGCACTTGGGTGCAGGTCTCTTCTTGCTTGTGGCAGCTGCTGTCATCCTCTGGGCCCTTGGTCCGTACGGCACAAGCGAAAACAATGCTACACCGACGATCCTCACGAATGGCACAACACCAGCACCCATCGACACCAATCTGACGACCGCCTTTGACATCCAACTCAATTTAACAACACCGGCGCCCGCCAGCTATACAAAGGGACCCCAATCCACTCCCACGACCAACGAAGCTACAACCGCACCATCGACTACTATAGCCCAGTCAAGCAGTACGCCAACGCCGACTCCCGATTTGACAACAGTCCTCCCACTCACCACAACCGCCCTACCCTCAACAACGCAGCCTCCGAATCAACATTCATCGGGATCGAGCTCAGTGACGACGGCGCCGACTGGCACAACAACGATTCCATCTTTGACGACTTTGGCTCCCGGGGACACGCCGGTTCCTACGACGACGCCGCCAGCGAGCAGTAGTAGCCAAGACTCGTCGGGATCGAGCTCAGTGACGACGGCGCCGACTGGCACAACAACGATTCCATCTTTGACGACTT